CGGCTCCCGCTGCGGAGCCCGCGGCTCAGCCCCGACACGCAGCGAGGGTCCGCGCGGTGGCTTACCTTCCCTGCTTCGTGATGATCATCTCCGTCTGGTGCCGGTGAAATTTCAGCCAGAGTGGCCTGTTGCACAGGTAGACCTGAGCCTTGCCGGGAACCAGCCCCGGCTGGGTGGAGGAGAACTGGTAGAACGGTGCCCCTTGGTAGGAATGGCCATACTGCTGGGGGTACGGGTAGCCCGCCGTGGGGTAGCCTTGCGGAGAAGAGTTGGATAGGAGGCTGTTATAAGCTCCGTTGGTGATCACAGGATGGTGAGCCATGTAGCGGCTGGGGCTGGCGATGGAGAAGGCTGGGTGAGCAGGTCCATGCTGGCTGGGATAAGGGAACATGGTACTAGGAGCAGAGGCAGCAGACTGGGGCTGGCTGGACTGAGAGAGCAGATAGCGATCTGCAGCAGATCCATCGAAACTGTGACGAAGCTCAGAGACCCCGTCCAAGACGGGAGAGAGTTTATTTCTCTGGACGTCCCCTGGTGTGTCCTTGGAGTCAGGAAAATTGTCTGTATCTGACTGATTCGTCATCCCCCTGGTAATTTTTTTCAAAGGTGAACTTCTCTCCAGGTTGTCAGTGGTCGAGATAATGGGATGATCATGCAAGGCAAGCTCAGATCCGCCTGCATGTGGGTAACTGCTGCTCACATTGAGAAATTTCTTGGAGAGCATGATAGAGGGAGAAAGACAATGCTCCAGCTGCATAGCTCTAGCACCACAGTAATAACCCTTCAGTCCCTGGATCTGAAAGGGCTCCTTAGTATCAGAAGCTAGACATCCTGGGACCCTCACTAGGCAGAAAGCACTTCATCCACCAAATGCTTCCCAAACGTTTGATTTACTTTTTTTTTTTTTTTTTTTTTTTTTTTTTTTTTTTTTCCCCTTCCTCCCTTCCCAGGGAGAAGAGATTGGCCAATTGACACTATGCAGCAATCAGGAAAGACTCACTTTTGATCTTGCTGCTTGTGGAGAGGATGAAACGGCTTCTGCCATTGGTTAACCGCTGACAGTAATTTAATTAGATAGACATTAATTAGGATAATCACCTGGCTCCTGGTCGCGATGATCATGGCAAATTGAAGGAGATGATTTTATTGTGAGATAGAAGGAAGGGAAAGGGGGAAGGGAAGAGTGTGTTTGCTGTGAGAGCTCATTATTATGTGACCTTTCCAGCTTTTTTTTTTTTTGACTACGGCTGGAAAATAAATCCAAGCCCTACGATTCCCCAAATATTGCGCACGTGTGCTCTACCTTTGTGCGTCAGGATGGAGAGCGGGTCCTGGGGGCTTCGGGGACCGGTTACGAGGGGAGTGCCGGGCTGGGCAGCCGCTGCCCTCAGCTCACTCCCGCGGTTTGTCCCCAGCGGGGCTCAGCCCCTCTCCCCCACCTCTTCTGAGCGACCCCCGGCACAACGCCCCCACCCTTCCCACCCGTGCCTGCTTTGCGGGGGAAAATACACCCTCTGTCCCCGCTGACAGAGGCCGCCTATCATCTCTTTTAACTTCTGAAATAATCATAAGCTCCGCAGCCGAAGTGCCCTAATGTATTTGCCGCGATGTTTATGGGTTCTTTAGTAAATAAATATTTTATCTGGGAGCCGTAATGCCGGAGATTATCAGCAAAACAGCGTGGAAGGCGTCCACCTTCCCATCCTGCTCCGGATTTCTTTCCACCCGGTGCCTGCTTTCCCCTTCATGCTCGGTCCCGCGGACAGCCCTCGATTTTTGGTAGCACCCTTGCCATGAGCCGCGGCCCGGCCCGGCTCGGTCGGCAGGTTCGGGCGTAGCGGAGAAGCCCAGACCACGGGGGTGCTGCGGAAGGAGCCGCCGACACCCTCTGCCCAGGGGTGTCTCGGCAGAGCCGCGGTCGCGGCCGAGCCCAGGGGAGAGCGGCGGCCGCGGCCCCGGGCGGGGAGGCGAGGCCCGCGCACCTTCAGGGGAATGCGGAGACCCCCAGTTAGCGGAAGGACCGGCCCGCGGGTCCCGCGGTGTTCCCAGTAGAGCCTCGGGCTGTTGAAAGCGGGACCATCCAAGGCGTGAAGATGCGCCTGAGTTCAGGGGACCCGCTCGCCACCCCTCCTCTGCCAAGCACCGGTCTCAATTTCCCTTCCTAGAGAAGCTTGAGAGTTTTTAAAAGCACGAGTTTTGTTTTTTATTGTTTTGTTGATTTTTTTGGGGGGGGGGGTTGGATTTTGGGTTTTATTTTTACCCAGGGAGGAGCTCTCCTCTCCTCTTCCATTTTTATTAGTATTGTCCCCTTAGCAGTTTGGACTTCAGGTATTTTACAGACCACATCTCTTCCCAGGTGACATCAGCAGCCGGCTTCAAATTCAACTGACAGCTAATGCGGTCTGAACCATCACATAATAAGACCAAATAATCGTATAATTGCCTGAAGCCAGGCTGAAACTTTTGCAAACTCAAATCCAGAGAAGACTAGAACCAGGATGACTTGTCAGAATGTGTATTTCAGTGCTCTCATCCCGTGGTCATTTACTTTTCTTTGCTTAACCATGAGCTACTTCAGTTATTTAGTGTTTCATAAATGCCAACATACACACTCTCTCTGCAAGGAAATGATTCTAATAAGATAAAGTATGAAGCAAAAAGCAAGCAGTTCACTGTTCCAGTCACAGTCGGGTGGTACAGTGCATGCAACTTTCCATACAATACCTTCTCCTTTCAGTGCTAAGAAAATAGTTTTATTATTATCAGTTCTAACTAATGTTTCTGACACTTGTTTCACCATCGTATTCACCCTTCCCTTTCCCTGCTTGAACCAACAGGGACTTATAAGTAATGGACTTATACAGGCAGGAGATGGATCAAAACGCAGATAAACCCTCGGAAATGCTGCCCTGAATTACAGAGCTACACCCATATAGATGCAGAGCTGCAATGAATTCAGTGGTATGCTGCCAATCACATGGAAGTGCTAATATATGCCAAAAATCTTCAGAGCACAACTCCTAAACTGGTATAATAGGGGGATATGCAATGGCAGGTGGTGTTACAGAATCGTCATAGAATGTAGAGAGGTTTGCTAATACAATATGCCCGTCCTTCGCGTTGACAGGTGACAAGGGGTCAAGCTGCTAATGAAGGTCTGCTCCATTGCGGCTGGAGGCTCAGAAGGAGGCTGCTCGAAAACCTCTTTCTTCCTCCAAGATGGTATATGGGCTGCTGCTTTTCAGGTTACGGCATACACACACTCTTCCAAATCCTTTGTGTAGCTCTAAAGCACTGGACAAATATAAGGAAAGATGCCCCAAAAAACTACCTTTTTATTATTCATGAAACATCTTGGTAAATGGAAAATTGTGCCTCCAAGTCAAACTGAGCAGTGAACAGAAAGCAGGGTACCACAGCACAAGCTTATACTACAGGAGATCTGCATCTCCAACAGACTCCCTTCAGCTACCCTCTGCAAGATGTACATTTGTCAAAATTAATTTAGAATATGCAAGACTCACTGGTTTGTCTCCCTGCTTACACCAGCCTCTCACGCATGTATACACTGCAGCACTGCGCTAGCTTCTCTTCTGCTCTGCAGTGCCATGTTACCCACGACCTGCCAAACTCTGTCTCCCTCGTGGTGTTACACGTGCGCGTGGGAGTAGAGAGCGGCAGGGATGCAGAGCCCCGCTGGCAGACGAGACCCAGGGCAGCTCCCCCAATCAGCTCCTGCCCCATCTCACCCCGAAGTGCCCATATCCCACAACAGCAAGGCCCAAATGCAGCCTTCCTCAAGAACACGCAGGTTTTCAGTGTAAATCACCAGAAAGTACTTCAATTTAACTACACTCAGGCAAATGTGGTTTGGTATGTCTCCATTTTCCCAGCCTGATATTCCACTGCCTACTGTGGGGGCAGAGGGAAGGCCATAAGGAGGGCAGCTGCAAAAATCTGCATGTTTCCCTCTGAAGTAAGTGCATGCTAAATATACTTCGAGAGAGAGTTATTCTAAAATAGTAAATTAAAAGGCCTAAATAAGAAATTCCAAACAAAAGAAAAATCTTTGAATGGTAAGGAGTAAGTAAATAGAAAAATAATGGGCATAAACCAGAAAATAAGACAATTTTATGGGTTATTCCTTTAGTATGCAAACAAGAAGTCAAATTTTTAAAAAATCATTGTCAACAAGAGATGTATCTAGTTTTAAAATATTTGCTTGCCACTATTATTGTCATTTATTGAAAAAAACAGAAAAATAAAACTTCTGCCCAGACACAAGAATCAGATCAGTCTAAGTACCATCCACTAGTTGAAAAAAACCCCCACCCCAACAAAAAATTCCAACCAGCCCCCTGCCCAAAACCCAGAGCCACTCCCTAAAACCAGTTATTTGGCTTTGCCTGCTTCAAACCAAGCAGCCAACCCACCTGCCTTCCTGTGTTTCCCTCCCCAGTCAGTGGAAATGGTTTTAAATGTCATATTCTAGTTGGGACTCTTTCCATATATTTATATATATGGACATCTCGTGTATGTTCTCTTTCACGGGAGGGAGGGTTCATGTAACCTAGAACAGCCTCTATCACTTTAATGTTTATTCTCAGAATACTGCTATTTATGACACCACTTGTGAGAGTTGTGTGATTCAGTTATCAGCAACTGAATTAATTTTTTTAAGGTCAGTTGTCTTCTGTAGATATTAGGGTTTGAATAATATTCAAAGGGAGCTGACGGGAATTTTCAGCATTTTGGGTTTTGTACGTCCTCAGAATTAAGCACTACTACAATTTTTGTGGGTTTTTTTTATTTTTTTTTTAAATCTCCATGACAGTATCTGGTAATCAATGGGAGCCAAATTCCATTAGAGAATTTTTGCTGTCCTAGTAATTAATATCTCAGTAGTTTTACAGTGGGTAGAAACAAGCCTTTAATAACACTTTTTCTACTCTCTTATTTCCTGCTGTCCTTTCTCAAAAAAGATTGCGCAGAACTTAAAACAGGTTTGTAAATGTATTTTTATTAAGTTGCAACAGTCAAAATATATATGTATTACTGATTTTCCCCCCAAATATTAAATGAAAATGTAATACATTTTTGCCCACATGGTGTTCTTGAATACTTTGTAATCTGTGAGGACCCTGACATAAAGAAATTGAAGCAAATGCACAATTAGAGACTGAAAGGTGTTATAGTGATGCACTTACATTGCAAAAGTCAGATGTCTCTGTTTAATCAAATAGAGCCTCAACAGTCTCTGTTTTGTGAGTATTAGAAACAATAAACAAATATACACAGAAAGCACCACAAACGGTAAATTGGTTATTTAAATACAACTGTATCCAACATAGCAGCTAAACACTGGACAATGTTTGAGGTCATCAGCACGTCCACATGCTCTTCTAAATGACGTTTGGGGTCCTGAAATACAAAGGATGCCATGAGAGGAATGACTGAAACACATCTCTGAAGAATTTCATGTATTTCAGGTCTACTGAAGATGTCCATGAGTTAATGAACACAGGCCAGTAATGCTCCTACATTTTCCATTTTAGCAAGACCTACCAAATGACTGAATTTCTATGAAGAAGATTTTATTTGCCCATACTAACAGTTAAGCCGAGGATAGGTTTAGGAAGTAAATTTCTATCCAGCATCTGAAGAGTAACCATGACAGCTGTGAGTTTTAAGGACAACACACAATATGTGAAATTTACTATACATCTCACTAAGGCCAATATTTTAATCTTAGTTCTGGTACATTGCAATTTGTTTTCAGATCTTTGCACAAATGTGTGTTCTAATCCTGTAAAGCCTCAAGCATCATCTAACACAGGCTTTGAATAGTTGTGTTGACTGCAAGAAAATTAGCATATCTATACCACAAAACATGTACAATGCTCTGTTCAAATGTTCTGAGAAACTGAATGTTAAGCCTGAGCAGTTTTCTGAAAATACACATCCCCACACACCATTACTCAATTGATGTGGGCATTTGTGGGCATCTGCATAGAACAATGAGATTATTCTGGTTGAAAATCATACTCATGCACTTCTTCAGTTTCACAATTGATATTGAGTAATTAATTTCCAAATACTGCAAAAATATCAGGCACATTTAAAAAACATCTCTAAAATTCATTATAGTATTATTGCAGCATTCTTTTGTGTAAAGAAATTAAAATACGGAAGACAATCATGCATGGGAATTAGAAGTTTTTTTAAAAAAGAATTACTGTCAAAATGTAATGAACCCATCTAAGTTTGCATAGAAGTGTGCTAGGCAATCTATGTAACTTTCCTTCTTAAGTAACTCATTTTCAAAGATCACACCAATATTTTTTCTGTTCCTAATAAATCAAGCACCTAATAACACTATATCCCTATTGTGAGAGGCTCTTTGTTTATAAGGTTTTTTATATAAGTTCCATCAAAAAAAGCAAACCCACTTGAAAATTACTTCACTGAACAATTTTTTAATTTAAAGAAAACTTCAAAATTTTAACGGGAAAAAATTTCTTTGCTTTTTGAAGAACTGTATCAAAACAGATTTTTTTTCATGTATGTGTAACAGCTAGTGAAGCTCAAGTTCTGTTTGAGATGACTTCATAACCCTTAAAATACAACCCTTCTTACATATTTTATATGTATATATTTATGTATGTGTAGGTGTGTATAAACTCCATTGTTCTGAATGCTACAGAAATACATGAGTGACTGAACAATAGTGCAGATGTGTTATGACATTGCTGCTAGAAGCTGACACATAAGAGCAATCCAGAATCCTTTAAATTCTTCTACTGCTACTAGCAATACAATAAATACTGGTTCTTTAAGGACATGCTAGATACTTTAAAAGCTATTTCTCGTTTCCATTGTCCTTCTTGAATTTGAATACAAGCTCTTACAAATTTGCTTTGCTCCCCTCTTGGTCACAAAAGCATATTTCCTCAATCTTTATGTTGAAATCAAATACAGAAATAGTTTTCTGCTGAGTCTTTATAGATAAAGACATTATACACTGCCATTGCAAAGGGATGGAATGAATCGAGTGGGTGTTTTCAGTTTCAGCTATGGTCCTGAAGTGTTTTCCTCAAGCACCAACACAAAGGAACACAGCTTAACTTGCCTGTGTGTGGATCGAAGCACAGCACTGACAGTGTGTTCATGAACTGAGGACGGAGGTGAGCTGGCTCTTTAGCCATGATAATGTATAAATAACACTCCCACCTTTGTTTCCATGATTACTACTTTTTAAAAGCCTCCACAGTTTGGGCTTCCCTGACATAGACTTGGATGTCTTTATGCCTCTTAGAAGAAGTTAAAACAAAAGAAGAAGAAAGAAAAACCAAATCTCAACAATGCTCCTCAGCATGTAATACAAACACATGTAGATAGCTTGCAGATATTCTGCCAGTTACCTATAGTCAAAAGCCCAGTTCCTTACACAACCTTCAACAAAAATAAATTTATTACTTAAAGTGTTGAGAATATCATGCACGTAGAATTAAAATCACCTACGCACATGTAAAAAAATTAGTATTTAGAATGAACGAAGCATATCATTCCACCTCACTCTAATTCATCACACCTCACCTGCTTGCCAACATTTTTTATTGCCAGCTGTTCAGGTGTCATCTTATCTTCTTCCTCAACAGCCTGTGAAAGAAACACAGAAAAGGTCAGTGTTTCAGATTTCATTTACTTTCTCCCCAAGCCACAGATTCTCAAAATACAATTCTCTTTCTCAAAAAAAAAAAAAAAAAAAAAAATCAAACAGCAACACATTTCAGAAAGTCAAAAGGAAAAGTACTTCAGCTTTTCAGCAGACGTGGTTTTAATTACCAAGTGTTAGTGCAAAAGATCAAGGCAAATATTCATGAATGGTTTTATTGTCAGATATTCACAAAACTGTTACTGAGCAAAACTCTGAAATGAGTAGTATCAAAAGTTAAAGATAGTTGAACATAGTTAAACTAGTAAAGCAGAACCAAAAGTGAACGTAATAATGAATTTTGGTTTTAAGGACTTGTAAGAAGTTAAAAAACCCAGCACTCATCAAGAATGACTGACACGCTTACTGCTCCTAGAGTGCTTGTTGAGATCTAGTATTTCTAAGAAATATTTCTAAGTGTAAGTGCCAGTATTAAAACAGTAAAAGTAGCTGTGATTCCTCTTCCTTACAACACCAATAACAAATTCCTTACCTAACAAGAACATTGAATTGGGCTCTGGAATGTGTTCTAAATATTTATTATTTATCTATCTACTGGACTGATACAGACAGATAACCTTTACTGTGCTTTAGTGATCAAACAGTCCTTGACTGAAGGATTGAAAAATATGATTAACTGATTATTTTGATCTACAGGAATCTTATATTCTCTTCAGTAAGTAAAAATACAAAATTGATGTGATTACTCACATTTCAAAGCAAAGTACGTAATTAAACACTTTGACAGCTTAGGGCAAAAGGTCGGGTGGCAAAGCTAATATAGGCAACTTCACACAGAAATGATATGTAGTTGATTACTAAGAACCACAGCCATTCTGAATAAAATTTGCGATGATCAACTCCTTATGAAATGAAGTAAATAATTTTTTCACTTCAGAAACACAGCTGCAGTTATACTATCATTATAGGATATGAATACCTTGTTGTAATTCTTAGCTAATTCTAACATCTCCTTCACTACTGTTTCATTGAGTTTGCAATGGTCACTGTAGTCCTGAAGTGTCAAACCTTCCATCCAACTCTTCTTATGCAAATTTAGCAACATCTGCAAAAGAAAACCGCTTTAGAGCATTCATCAGAAAATACTTTCAGAATACGATGATCTCTTTGATAGAAACCCAATTTATAATAATAATATAATTTAAAAAAAGATCTTAATGTTTAAAGAGAGGAAATACAATCATCAACTATTCTGCTAGAGTAGATGATAGATTTTGCATACATTTTTCAAGATCAATCTTCTTGAACGCTAAATATGAAAATGAGGCATGGAGACCTGGGAGTATGTAGGTTTGCTTTCTGGGATTTCCTATTTTTGCTGAAGGTTGAGAATGCACAATAGCATTGTAGAAGAGCTAACAGAAAGGTGAATACTTTAGCTGCCAAATAAGGAATAGTTAAAGCTTCTGCCCTCTAACAAAACTGAAAAATATTTTAATGTTTGGATTAAATTCATAATCAATAATTCATTCATTAATTATCTGATCTGTATGCGTGCAACTGACAGAGTTATGATGAAGTGAACTTAGTAAGCAAGCAAAGCATGACTTCTTGTGTCTTTGTCCTCCTACAAAATAAACAGCCCTAATAACAACATGATAAAATGTTGTAGAGTTTTGAAGGTGGTAAATGCAGGCACTATTAGAAATATTTGAAATGCCTTACTTGACACAGATGTCGTTCTTGAAAGAGTGAAGGAATAGCTACAAAGGCAATTTCTGTATTTTCATGAATAAAGAAAGCATATTTTATAGATCTCCTGCATGTTTGAGGACTGTAGCGAGAACCTTTTCAGCAAGAAGTTTCAGTTTATCTTCCATTTACAAACATTTACTAGACATCTTTGAGAACTGGTAAAACCTGGAACCGCTATCAGCTGAATAAAAGTACCTGTTTCATCCTATGTACAGCTTTCAAAGAAACCCGGCTTTGGAACACATGAACTGAGTTGAAAGTTTGTGTCATAATTTGTATTAGCAAGATCTTAGCTACTGACAGAAGGAGTCGTAGGCAAACCGCATATGGACAGTTTAGCTAGGCTATCTTGATTTTAAAATTATGGTTTGGTGTGATGAGCTCCTAATCTAATACATGAAGCATGTACTCTTCTTACTACAGATGGAGACAACAGATCACCACCGCCACGAGGGGGGTTTGAGATATGTATGAAGCTGCCTTATGAAAGATGTGAGAGAGAGTTGTTGCCTCACAGATTAAAGTCTTCCTAACTCGGTCAGGATTATTCTCCCACTTGCAAAGGTAATAACTTACTTATGTAAAGCCATTGAAGAAAATACACACTTGGAACTTCAGAAAAGACTGGATTTGCCATATTGTTGCATTTGAATGGAAACAATAACCCCTGGAAGCTTCACAGACATTTCCTGAGAGAGCTGGTTTTGTTGAATCCATTATTCTTTTCAGTAACAGTGAGGTCTTGAAAGTCTGATACTGCCCTAAAAACAGTTGTGCATCTCACAAATTCTCTCCAACTCCCTGATTTGCACACATATTCTTCCATTACTAATTTTTTTCTTATTATTACTTGTAACTCTCTAAAAGTCCAAATTAAGTGCAAAAACTATTCTGACCATCTTATCATAAACTTCAGCTATGAGATCAATTTACAACCCTAACAACGCTATAAGCATACACAGGTATAACTGAGGACAGAATTTGGCTTTTCAAGAATTAACTTCTGTAGATGATAAATAAACCTTTCTCTTTCTTTCTTTCCCCTCCCCCCGCCCCCGTTTCTTTTCCTGCTTGAGGCAGTTTGACGCAAAAGTAACAGACAACATTTGTTGCAAGTCACTTAATAATATTTCTTCTGTAAATGCAGGACATGACTACTTCCTCATATTCAGCCAAGTCTTGGGGAGCTCCATTCGTATCAACAGAAGTACCTTCTGTCAAAGTGACTATAGCTAATAAAACCCCAACATCCCTTGGTTATACAATTCCATTTTGGAAAACATGGACTCCCAGCCCGTGAAAAACTAAGGCAGCTAGTAGGTCTTTCAGCTTCATCACTGAAAACATGAAACTTTGCACAAACTGGTTAAGTGCAGAGAACAGCGTAAGGACTCTCCATAACACGTGGACAAAAGTGTTATCAAACTATTTATATGGTTATTAGAATGTGGTTTTGGAAAGTTTCATCATCATGACTACATATCTAAGTGCTTTCTGGAAGAGAAGCTATCTACTCCAAGAGAGTTAAAACAACTACTGAAAAGTAACAGCAGTTGAAATCAGAATATTGCCAAAAATCTTAAACAGTTTGAATAATGTTCTTTGTCCTCTGAATAAAATCTGAAACAATTACCTTCTGTTCTAGTTCATTCTTCCTGTAGTTGATGGTGATGGAATAGTAATGTCTGTTTAGTCCATGAATTAGTGCCTGTAAAATTCAGGAGAAAAATTTAACCTCCACTGAAATGAAGAAATATTAGAAGGGAAAAGCTCATTGAAATACAACCACCTTCAAACATGACTCAAATAAAAGAAAAACCACAAACAAACAAATACACAGAGATAACAAGTAGGTATCAAGTAAATATACCTGGACCTATTTCTCTTTTAGTGTTCATTTACTGACAGTTCTGCTTTCTATTTCTAAACCACAGATTTTTTTCACACAGTAACAACTATAATAAGAAAAAATGGTAACTGCCTGCAAACATTTGACCGATACATATGCACAAACATATTTCTCTCAAATCCTTCCTCTTTCAATAAATATGATTATCACTTCTATTAAAATATTCAGCTGTGTTACAAACAAAAGAATATTAGCTATCTATTTATTTAAAACCACTGTCATTCTCAAAGGTACAACACAAAGAGAGAATACCTGAAGCAGTGAGTAAAGACCTCAGTTATCAGTTAGACTATGTGCATCAAATCAACCTTGGATATTACAGCCAATTTTTAACTTTAAATTTAAAAAAGACCACTTTTTCATTATAATTATGCCCTTCGTGAATTTGTTAAACTTGTACATCGCAGCCTGAGCTACTGAGATTAGGTTAAGTGATAGCCATATGCATCTATCTTCTATTTTGTTTACGTGCATTTTTTTTTTTAAATTTATGACCGAAGGGTGATTTGGATTAATATTTGGGGGGGGTTAAAAATTCTATGATAAATCCACATCACAACTAAAATTGTCTATTTGTCAAATAAAATGTTATAAATGAAGTATACATTTACAAATGAGATATGATAAATCATACATACAATATGCTGAATTAGTGGTATTTCTTATGTTTCAGACATTCCACCTATTTATATTTAAATATGTTTTAGAGCTATACAAAATGAATGTGTATTTGCATCTTATGCAACTTAATATTTCAGCGTTCCAATATGACCTGTATGAAAGCTGAAAATGTTCTCACATACATTTTAAACATATTTCTTTTGCTAACACATATACAAAGATAGAAAACTACTTGAACAGTTATGTTTACGAGAACAGCAGTTAGAGATAACCATTACTTGTCCATTTATTCTAATTAAAATTGTAAAATACAGGTCTTACCATCAATCAAGTAATTTATAGTTGAAACTGTTAACAGTAAGTAGTTTCCACTACCATCTTCTTATCCCACCCAAAATGATTGCATGTGGGATTTTTGTGTTTGTGTTTAAACTCAGGTGCATTAGAGGTACTTAGGAAGTTTTCTCAAGCTCTTAAAATTTGACAAATATCTTTGCCTTCTCCCACTATCCTTTCCTTTCCTCTCCTTTTTCAAAACCCATTCTTGAAAAGAGTGGACAAATGTAAAAGATAAACAACTGTAAAAAAAGCTGTTGATAAGGGAACACGAGAAACACACACACACACAAAGGAAGGAACAAAGTCAAGGCATGTACTATTCTACCATTCTTATTGCTGAGATTTTAGGGAAATTCCTGCTTCTGGCCTAGCTGAAATAAATATTTAGTTTGCTTCTGTCCTCAATTGGGTCAGAATTCTATTCATGGTCCTAAAATAAAAGCAACACAACACTGTGAGAGCCCTTGCAGTTTTAAGAACAGAGTCATTTAAAACTATGATTTTTAGCTTAACAGTGACACTTGCAACAGCTCACTGCCACCTTGCAAAAAATGAACACAAACAAAAAATACCCACTTCAACAACAGAAACCCCAAACTCCCATGGCCAAAATATGCCATGCTGTAGTGACAGTGATCTTAAAATAATGAAGTTGAACAATACTACAGGGGTTTCCAAGGGAGAACATTACACATGGTCTAGGAAAGCCCAGTTAGAAAAGCCCTGAAACATGCAAGCATGGGCTTGCCTACATCCAATCAAGAGTACTAGCTCATTATTTCATATTCATGACTATTTGCAGTTTTAACCAATTAAAAAATAAAAAGTAAAAGAGCCTCCTGAACCAGGCACTTTAATTTAAAGACTTCTTTTTTTCCTAGCATTTTTTTATAAATAGGGTTTCAACACATTAGTAACAAAAAAACTGCTCTTTTGAAAGATAGGGGTATGGCAGTCTAGTACCTCATAAAGTTCAGCCTTTATTTCAGTTCCGCTGTTACTAGTGTATGGTCTTTTTCTTGGATTTTTATTTAGCAAATATTACTTCTACTGTTCAAGTAACAGAACAAAAAAGCAGGGATTGGGCTTCATGGTTCCAAGTACACATGCCTTTTAGAATACACAGTAAGGGAGGCAAGTTTTTAAAGGAAAAAACATTGAGGCAGAAGAATGACAGGGATAAAAGCATTAACTACTCCAGAGAACACTTGTTTCAGGACAGGAGCTATTTCTCAAAATAAAGGCTTGCTTTGATGAAGATCAAAACTTTTGTCTTACTAGTGGAAGTCAAGTTTAGAAATCAAACTTTGAATATTTAAGTTTCACAAATGTGTATTCAAAAGAAACATTACAGCAGAAGCCAATCAAGCACTCATTTTATCCATGGAATATCCTCTTCCACCATTTTTCCAACAAATTACTGCATTACATAAAAATCAGAAATTAATTATTTAAGACATAATACAAGGTTTAGTCTAGATTACATAATAAGCAAGAATCTCTAAAAACATACAGTAAAAAGACAAGATGAAGAGGGAACTTCTTCCACAATTTACTTGAGAGTAACTTACCTTTAAGTTACTTATCTTAAAACCTGAGATGTTAATAAGCAGCAGTTTTTAAATTGCAGGACTGAAAACAGTACCTATCTTGCATCACGTTATGTCATCAATTGTCACTTTTAAAAGTTTGCATTTCCATAAATCTGTACTTGAATCTTTGCTGTACACGTTTAATACATTCATTCCCACTTAGGTAGCTAATTTAGGGCTGAATTTTAAACCCCTCACATATATATCTCCACTGATGAATCCCATCAATTATAAAAGCATGGAAAAATGCTATAGAGAACAATAAACAATTTGTAACCTACAGTTTTTAGGTACCTTTCCCCAAAATTAATGAATAAATCTTGAAATGTACAGGACTATCAGCATTGGGTTTACCTGGATAGATGGCTTGTTTAAGTGACCCAGATTTGAAGTTGTTTGTCTTGGTTCATGTCCTAAGACCATCATATTAGCATTGATCAATCTGAAGGCATCAATAACAACCTGTAAAAACAAGATGTCAAGTCAATTCTTTTTATAAAATGCAACTAATAGAGCCAAGCAACAGTGGACAAGGCACAATCAACTCTCATCTGTTTTTGGCCTTTATCCAGAAAATCATTTAATTATAATATTAATAAAAAAGAGCCTCCTGCTGGCTATGTGATCAGCACACTACACTACCTTGTATTGTAAGGTGACACCAATTATTACCTTTTCCATGGAACTGCAAGTTTTATATACATTATATCATCATATAACATTGAATTTTGTGTACACTTACTCTAAGCTTCAAAGCTATGCATATGTTTGTCACCTAAATCTTATCCAATCAAAATGAATGACAGAGAGAGACTAAAACTGAAAGTGAGCACAAGCTAAGGGACCAAGTCTAAAGCCCAGTCCTGTCACATCAATTACACTACCACAATACTTGAAATGACAACAAAATTATAGCCAGCAAGGAACTTGCCCCATGTATTCCCTTCTAGTCAGATGCTTTTTGCTTCTTGTGACTACGAAAGGGTCTCTAAACTGTCTGATGGATTAAAAAGTCCTTGTCAGTGTCATGCTCACAAGTGAAAAACAGAGTAAAAGAAAATCAAGGTCATTTATGATTTAAAGGTACACAGTAGGTAGCATTCAGTGCTATTTCATTACAAATAAAGTAAACCCATCACTGATTCTTACTCTGTCCTGTGCTGAATTTGTCTGCAAAAATTTTTCAAAACAGAATTTCCCGGTCCCATACAATAAACACCACACTCCTATCCAACACCTATATGAGGTGAAACAGACCTAAGGACGTACCAACAATACACGCAAACCCACTCTTACTGGATCCTCACCATTACAGGTTTATAACTGCAAGATAAGAATTCTTGTTTAGGTTCCAGACTTTTACTGTACCAGTGCACGTACAACCTTGTACCTCCACAAACAGTACCAGACAGACTTTGCAGGCATCTTGTCTGCATATGCTTGAAGAGTTACTCTAGTTCAATAAACTAAATAATTTAAATCTCCTTTTAACAGCTTTTCTATAATAATTTTTATTCTCTTCGTCTTTATAATATGAGTTGGGCAACAACAGATGCATTTATATGGCTGGTTTGGTATTTCGAGGAATTAGATTTGAACCAAATCTTTTATGTTGTGCAAACAAGAAATCAACCACTGTCACTGAAAGTCTTCAGAGAAAGTGACATCGAGTCTGCTACCTTGTTCCAGCATTTTCCTCTCCATTTACACAAATAATAATAAGTACATATGCAGGTTTCAAGATTACTAGATAAATATTGAGGTCATTAATGTGGAAATAAAGTGAATCAGCAAGTATGTATAACAAAATAAATTATCAGGTGTGAACTGAAAAAGCCCACCAACCTATCACCTGTTGTATTTACTTTTGAGAACCCAGTAGAGACAGTGGTGTTGAGTGACTGGGTGCCACTATGGGCTGTTGCCTGGACCCTCAGCTGCTGGCCAGATCCATCTGCATATGTCGTGTCTTAAAATTGCATGCAGAAAACCTTCCAAAAAAGATCTTATTAAAAATGTTGTGACCCAATTAAAGTGAGTTAACAGTGATATTTTTTCTCTGGACAAAAAAACTCACAATTCAGATTTAATATGCAGCAGAAGCATGCTATCTGACACCAATGCTAAAAAAAAAGGAATTACATTTAAAAGAATTTAATTCTCAAAAATATCTGAAACAGTTTCTCTATATCTATACACTCTTTCTCGTAACGTACAAAATAACTCTGGGGTTTTTTTCCTTTTTTTAGCACTATCAGATTTTTCTCTATCTCAAAACACTTGCGGATAAGCTTTTGTATATATCTCTGTATTCCATTTTAACCAGATGCTCTAATTTATGAACACCTGGAAATGCCCAACCATAACAAACAGGCAGTATAAATTAAAAAGTCAAGCAAAGCAAAAAAGAAATCCACACAGGTTCTCCCACGACTAGTTACATAACGGGAAAAAAACCCCAAGAAAGCAAAAATTTACCCTGAGGAGCAAGAACATGAACTTGGCAGTATACTAGAATGACAAGGAGCTGCTTTAAAACTGACTAATGGCCACACTTTTAGATCTCAGTTTAACAAAGTGCTTCACTAGACAATGTTGAGTTTATCCAAAAAGAATGGCATCGTCCAGCACGGATTTCTTTTGGGACTTCAGTCATGTAAAATAGAAAGAGAATCCAAAATAAGAAAAAATTATTTAATTTTGTTTCAATAAGAAAATTCAACATTTCAGTTAGTGTTCTCAAGATTAGTCAAATTTCACATTAAAATATGAGAATGAGTTGCTAAAATATTTCCGAGCGATACTGAATTTTACTCTAGCATCTTAATCCTGACCAGAAGTAACTTCCGATATGTTTCAGGTACTATCTGTTTAGGAAAATACTGCACTGTCTATCTGTCCTCCTGAAGGAATGACATGAAAGTATTTCCAAAGCAGAACAAACAGAAATCTAACAGAATGTGGCATGAAAAATTAAAACCACAAATCGCAAATGTTATGATTTTAAAAGGGATAAAACTGCAATTCCTACAATCTCAGAGGGGTACAAAAAGTATGTGAGCAAATGATATTTTTCATCTCAGTTGCACTGTAATGACCAATGGAAACTAAATACTTTAACTACACTAAGATTAAAGGAATTTGCTGCTATCACTATAGCAACCATCTTAAAGAAACTAACATGCTCAGCAACCTGAAGGCTAAATTTAGACCTAATACGCAATAAAAACATAAATACAACAATAAATCCTACATATTCATTTCTATGAAATGCAATTGCTTTTTTCACAGTGAGCATAAATCAGTCCCGCCTTTAGAGGATTACATAAAAAAAAAATAGACTCATTAATGTCCAGTGTACTAATGAGCAATGGGTGAAGTAGGTGTTAATTATGCCACAGTAAGATCCAAGAAAAAAGCCCCAGTGAGCACTTGGAGGTGTGTACAAGCTGAAGTCTCATCTCTACGTTTGTGTATTTCAAAGTACAGCATGATGCAATCAGATGACAGAAACATGGTCACCCCATATTCTACAATGGAAACTTTGACACAGTATTTTGAACAAAGAACTTCTAAGGATTAATTAAAAGCAGTATAACCCCCCACTCAGTTTCTTAGATTTTTGTTAGTAAGAAGTCAGCATTTCCCAACCAAAAATTTTAAGCTTTCATTGTACTTGAATTACCTAATGCAGCATGTATCTTTTAGTAAAAACTCCAGTTTCCAAGCTTCATGCTAAATTCCCTTTCTGAAAAGACATTAAAAAGTTGAACAAAAGTCTATGCCACTGGGATGTTTTCCAGAAATATGAAGGTAGATTTTTTTTCTAAATGCACTTCCATTGTGCAACTCTTTCACCACTCTGACCATTTAATTTTTCCTTGTGTAAGTGTCTTCAGACTTTTCAGAGGTCATTTCAACAGCAGACAGCTTATAACAAAACCATTAGCAGTTTGGCTAGCTTAAGGAAACCTCTTACTTTCCTTTTTTGTTTATTATCACTGCATGAATCTGCAGCATATGAGAGTTTATAATTTCTCAGGCTTGTTAAATTCATGTTAAAGGTCTGTTTTCTTGTTGAATAAATTTTGTTCATATAATGCTGCCTATTTCATATACTGAGTCTTTAATAGCACCTTTGGTCTATGCGCAACTCACAGATCAAAACAGAGGACTAAAATAGGGGTTGATGATGCTATTTACATGTGTGATTCCTGCTGTCTTCTTGTTAGTAGCTTTAATATAATAGAAGACCTTGTCTGTTTTGTAATTAACACATCTTTACTGGAGAGATATTTGGAAGTGATTGCTGTGAATATACTGGTTAGTAAAATAAACACAATCACACACCACTTTCTGTTATCAGACAAATTTGTGAATTGTACACATTATACTCCAGATCAACAAACTGTGATATAACAGCCAAGTAGAAGACACATTTATATAACCCTTTATTTTTCTGAAAATATGTATTCAATCTGACCTTGCAAATATAATTAGCTTGTGGGATGTGTGGATTTCAGTACCATGGATGCTTTACTAATTGCAGCTCTTGGAAATAGATACTAAATATTTGGAAGCTGCCAATACAAAATAAAAACTGCATCTTTTTGTACATCTGTCTTAGCTTCAAAATGCATAATAATCTAAAAAACAATAACTATACAGCATTTTTTTAGCATTCGCCTGGGATCAACAGTCCATATAATGTATTTTTAGAAACAAAATTTACAATTATCTTGAGTGTAAATTTCAGCACAGCTATAATTAATATGATTCAAAGTTACTCACAGTCTAAGACAAGCGCTGGACTCCTCAACTGCTAACTAGATAAAAATCTGGCCTCTTATAGTCTGCACAGTTATTAAAAATAATGGCTTGATTAAAATTTAAGATGTTTAGTGCCAGACTTCTTTTAGCTTCTTCTGAAAGTGTGAATGTGATATATATATATTACCACTTTTTCTAAAACAGTCTTCATAATTTCATAGGGTATTTAAAAGAAAAATAAGATAAATTCAAGAGTATTTTACACACTTGATTCTTAAATCCCTCCAATATCAAATCTCTGAACAATACTGAATGAAATAGTCCTGTTTTTCAAGACCCACTATATTTTAATGGTAAACTTCAGTTAGAATAAGTCAGCCTTTATTGTTTAAATTAAAAAAAAAATCTAACATCAATATTTTTCCACTGAGGAATCTATGGCATATGGTGACTATCTTTAAAAATGCATTGTGTCCTTGAATTCAGATAGCGATGTATTGTTTATGCCATATGTTTATGAACAAACATACCAGTGCTTAAAGACAACTGCAAAGTATATAATGTGGTTACGCCAGGTGTGGAAGAAGAAGTAATGTCCCATCTAAAATCTCTTTTATCACCTGCAACTGACCTGTTATCAACTGCTTAGTTTGTTTCTAGATTCTTTAAAAATGAAATGGAACATGTGACCT